AATACACAGCCCTAGATAGTTTGTTGTAGTTGAAGCTTTAAATTTCATTTGGTTAATTTATTTATCTGCTGTTTTCATCAGCATGTCATTTAAGTGATGTAACTTTTTAATGTAGGATTGTGTACTCTATCCAGGATAAAGAAAATAAGTAGATTTGTGCACACATTTAGTTTCAGTAGTATACATTTACAGCAGATTACACAACATCTGTATTTCATACATGGAATAATTAAATTGTGTGTGTGTGTGTGGGGGGTTAAAGATCTTTTTGCATATAAAAAAGCAGCTGTAATAATCTAGAAACTGTTAGCTTTCTTYATTAATTCATGATTTAGTGACTCAGACCTTTTCAGACTTGCATCACATTAAGCTGCTGGAACACAAACGAGCAACATATCTGGTTTTGTCGGTGAGGTACAGGATGTTTTTAAATGTTTTTACATGACAAACAGTTTAATAGTATTGTGTATCTTTTGAACTGTTGCTTTATCTCTGGTAACACTTTAGCTTTTAGGTTCCCATCCTGCTGTCTTAAATAGGAAATCAGGTTGAGTGTGTCTAAATTAAATTGAACTAAATATCTACCTTTGTCTTCCAGCTGCAGTGATGTGAATCCTGCCGCTGCTCAGTGCACAGCAAAGACCGCTTCCTGTAACAACGTTTCACTGCAGCCGGTCCTCACAGACCTGGTAAGACCCCCCCAGCGTTCACACAGTCTACATTAAGGTTCAAAGCAGCAACATCTCAAATCAGCTTTCCTTTAAGGTGGAGTGTTTTCTGCCTCGGCTGTGTGGGAAGGTCGACGTCCTCCTCTTCAACCCTCCATATGTGGTCACACCTTCAGAGGAGGTGGGTCGGCTCAGACCCAGCGTCTGTGTGTAACTCTGAGACGAGCTCACCTTCTTAGCAGAGTTATTATAGCTAACTAAAACTAACTAAAAAACGAAAACTGAAATTTAAAAACATTTTAGTTAACTAAAATAAATAAAAACTGTAATAAAATGAGAAAATGAAAACTAAAACTGTATAATCCTTGTACAAAACTAACTAAAACTAACTGAAATTAGATAGAATGTCCTTAGTTTTAGTGTTTGTCAATTTATTTTGAGACGTGGATCTCTTAAAATAATCGCCCAAGTTTTTAGTTGGCAAAATTCAGTTACACAATTATTTTAGGAAGGTATGATGAACTGCTTTAACTAGCAACCAAATAGCTGTTGGTTAGTTAACCCACAGAAACATCACAAGATTGAGGATGCATTGGCAAATGTTTGTTTAAACTATAAAAAATACCAGTACCACTTTACAATAAGACTCCACTCAAAGATGGCTTATAAATAGTTATTAATTCATCTGTAAACACTTTATGAATCTTTAAGAAGTATTTATTATGCATTAATTAAGGATGAGAAAGAAACAAAACTGTCTGGTTTCTTGCCAAATAGTGAGCCAAACCTGTTCATGTTCTTATTACATCTAAAGATGCTACATATATTAAACATTTCAGACTAGGTTTCTACCTTGTAAGCACAATCATGGATTAATAATGCAGTAATACAGTATGTAGGGGTCACCTCGAGTGAAGAAACAGGATTTACTGCCTCAAAGCAGGTCTCGCAC